ACGATTACAGGATAGACCTCAACACTGACCAGAGACTAGACCAACGGAAGTATAATAGACCTCTGTCATCTGAGGTCGCTGCAATTTGGGTTGAGGGCACTGACCTAGCGAAGAGGTTCGATCGTAGGATTACACTTTGTGGGAACGACAACCAGAGGCACAGTATACATGTGACGGCTGGCTCGTATGACCCGCTCTCTTACCCACTCTTCTACCCAAGGGGGGAGCTCGGTTGGCACCCGAAACTACCTAAACGTAATGTCCCTTGGCCGGTTGTGCAACAACCAAGAGGTGGACGTGATGATGATGATGATGATGATGATGCAGGTAAGCCTTATGCGTATTCTGTCGTTTTGATGTATTGTGTAGTTCTCATATGAATTCTAACTTCCACGCTACTCATCCATGTGCAGAGGGGAATAGCAGGTTATGCGTCTCCGTGAGAGACTACTACTGTTACATGCTGCAGACACGACCTGGGATATTCAATCCCATACTCTGTGGAGCACGATTGCTCCAGCAATGGGGGGTGGACATGTACATCAAGATTGAGAGTTGTAGGTTGAAATGGTACAGGAAGAACCAGACAAAGATCCGTGCCGACCTGTATAAAGGAGTTGTTGATGCAATTACATCCGGGGAGACCCGGGCAAGCGCTGTTGGAGTAAGGATAGTGCTCCCTGGAACGTACCCAGGTGGCGACCGCGACATGAAGCGGAGGCATATGGATGCCATGGCAATTGTCCATACGTACGGGAAGCCTGACATCTTCTTGACCATGACCTGCAACCCTAACTGGGAAGAGATAACGAATGAGTTGTTTCCTGGTCAGACAGCACAAGATCGACCTGATCTTGTGGCTCGTGTGTTCCATGGAAAGCTAGAGGCTATGAAAGAGCTCTTGTTCAAGAAGAATATCCTGGGTGTTGTTGTCGCACATGTATACGTAGTCGAGTTCCAGAAGAGGGGCCTCCCCCACGCACACTTTTTGTTGATCATGGATTCTGCATATAAGCTTGTCGTTCCGGAGCAGTACGACCGACTCATTTCTGCCGAGCTCCCAGACAAGCAGAAGTATACTGAACTCCACGCCTTGGTGGTGAAACATATGATGCACGGACCATGCGGTGCTCTCAACCCCAAAAATGTGTGCATGCAACAAAACGAGTGCAAGTGCAGATACCCACGGCCGTTCAATGAAAACACGGCACAAGGCAAGGACTCATACCCAGTTTATCGTCGTCGAGATGATGGTCGGCAGGCTAAGGTCCGTGGTAAAATGCTGGACAACAGATGGGTTGTGCCGTATAACCCTTACCTTCTGCGGATGTTCAATTGCCACATCAACGTTGAGGTTTGCTCTAGCATAAAGGCCGTCAAATACCTTTACAAGTACATATACAAGGGCCATGATAGGGCTTCTTTCAGCATCGACCAGCCCGACGCCAATGGTAACATTGATGAGATCAAAAGATACGTAGACGCAAGGTGGGTTACTCCTCCAGAGGCGATGTGGAGGATATTTGGCTTCCCCTTGTGTGCCAATGACCCGCCTGTCCTACAGTTGCCTCTTCATCTCCCGAATATGCACAGGGTGGCCTTCAATGAGCAAGCTCACTTGACCGACGTAGTCGCCTCTGAGAATGCTTCCAAATCCATGTTAACAGAGTATTTCAAAGCTAACCAAAACCACCCATGGGCTAGGAATATATTGTACAAGGATTTTCCTGGAAGGTTCACATGGCAAAAGGGTAAGAAGTATTGGAAAGAGCGGGTGGAGCGTTATCAGATAGGTCGAATTGTGTCTGCCAATCCTGCCGAGGGGGAGCGATACTATCTACGTGTGATGCTAAACCATGTTGCTGGCAAGACATCCTATGAGGACCTGCTTACCGTGGACAGTAGGCTATGCGGGAGCTTTAGAGAGGCTGCCGAAAGGTTGGGACTCATCGAGGCAGATAACACGCTCGACGACTGTCTTACCGAGGCAGAGCAATGGGCGATGCCATGTTCGCTCAGGAGGCTCTTCGCAACAATTTTGGTGCACTGTGAGCCAGGCGACGTGCGTGGTTTATGGGATAGGCACCTCGAGCCTATGTCTGATGACTATCGGCGATCACACACGTGCCCGATTGAGGTGGAACAGATGGTGTTGCTTGACATTAGGGGTATGTTGCAGTCCATGGGCAAAGACATAGCTGATTTCGCTCTTCCATGCATTGACGATGCGTTCGACCCAACCGAGGGCGAGGCCAGAGAAGTGATCGAGGAATCCAACATCGATTTTGACATCAATGACACTAAATTGGCATCGTCGCTAAACTTCGAGCAGAGGGTTGCATACGACGAGATACTAGCTGCTGTTGATGGCGGTGATGGGGGTGTGTTCTTTGTTGATGGCTCGAGAGGTACAGGGAAGACCTTCCTGTACAGGGCGCTGCTCGCCAAGGTTCGAAGCGAGGGAAACATCGCTATCGCTACCGCGACGTCAGGCGTCGCGGCTTCTATCATGCCTGGAGGCAGGACTGCCCACTCGAGGTTCAAGATCCCATTGAGTTGCGACGATGGGGCCTCCTGCACCTTCACAAAGCAGAGTGGTACCGCCAAGCTACTGAGGATGGCCTCATTGATACTATGGGACAAGGCCACCATGACTAAGCGACAGGCGGTCGAGGCACTGGACAACAGCATGCGCGACATCATGGGAAGACGGGACCGACCCTTTGGAGGAAAAACTGTTGTGTTTGGCGGGGACTTCAGGCAGGTGCTTCCGGTCGTCAGGAGGGGGTCCCGGGGTCATATAATCGATGCAACCGTCCGAAGTTCACATCTATGGAAGGGTATGCGCCAGCTAAGGCTCGTCACCAACATGAGGGCTCATAATGACACCTGGTTTGCGGATTACTTGCTAAGGGTAGGCAATGGCATTGAGGAAGTTGACGATCAAGGAAACATACGACTCCCTGAAGATATTTGTGTGCCATCTACAGGCGAGGGTGACGACCTAGAGAAGCTGATTGACCATGTGTTTCCGAGACTAGATGACAACATGTCCGATCCGAATTACATGACTTCACGCGCAATCCTCTCCACCACAAACGACAACGTCGACAAGATAAACATACGCATGGTAGAGCGTTTTCGGGGAGAAGAAGTAATCTACCATAGCTTTGACAGTGCAGAAGACGACCCATATGGCTACTACGCTCCCGAGTTCCTGAATGGGTTGACTCCCAACGGTCTGCCTCCGCATGCACTCAAACTGAAGCTCAACTGCCCTGTCATACTTCTGAGGAACATTGATCCGGCTAATGGTCTGTGTAACGGGACGAGGCTTGTGGTCCGAGGTTTCGAGAGGAACGCCATCGACGCAGAAATCGTGATCGGACAACACGCAGGTAGGAGGGTATTCCTTCCTCGAATACCCCTATGCCCGTCTGACAATGACATGTTTCCATTCAAGTTCAAGAGGAAGCAATTTCCTGTAAGGCTTAGCTTTGCTATGACGATTAACAAGGCTCAAGGACAGACGATTCCGATTGTTGGCGTGTACCTACCTAATCCGGTGTTCTCTCATGGTCAACTCTACGTCGCGTTGTCTCGAGCCACCGCGAAGAGAAACATAAAGATCCTCATTGAGAAGGAGAAGGAGAAGGATAATGGCAAGAAGCAAAGTGGTAAATCAAAGAAGCGAAAAAGACCTTCCTTGTCCTTACAAACCTCGATGAAGAACATCGTCTATAAGGAAGTCCTGACAGGCTGAAGTCCGCACTTACGAAACCGGCGGGTTTTGAATATGACAATAGCATTTACTCTTATTCTACAGATAATTTGTTGCTCTGGAGCGCTTTTGTACAAATGTTTATCTTTGTTTTTTATTTGACTGCAATCTTTATTTAAACGTGTGCGACCACTATCAAATTAAGAATGCCCAGCTTCAGTAGCGTTGCTACGGGCCAGTGCACGTCATCTTCAATTTTATCACGTTTTGCTCAGACTCTGAGGATTTAGAGTATGCATCTATACAGTTTTGGCATCCAGTACACCTATGATTTGAACGCCTCAAGATGTAGGTATAGCCAATATGACCTGTTAGATAATAACATGAGACGACCGCCCCCTGTTTTAAGTCTATATGTTTCAGTTTGGTTAGTATACACTAGACAGATTTAATTATTGTGGCATTTTTGTCTATCAATAATGTGTGTGCATGTTTTCCTTAAGGAAACAACATATAGTTGTCTTCATCACCGGAACACACTTTAGGTGCAGATCATGATATTTCAGTTGGGCAGTTTTGACATGGTACATTTTTTCAGTCAATATTTGTTTAACTTAAGCAGCAGTACTTCTCTCTTCAAATGACACTACGACACCATAAAGAAGTTGCATACATTTCAGCCGTTACTAATGTGACTACCATTGAAAATGTCATGTCAGACTCGAATCACATCGTAATAGTTGTTATAAAAAAACGTACTATTGCTTGCCCACACATTGAAGTACTACATTTTTTATTACCCTGTATTTCTGAAAACTTTGCTACCATGCCGGTTTGTTGCTAAACTCGTAAAGGTTTTCAAAATTAAAACTGTGGTTCCTAAACCCTGTTATGCTTTTGTTTGCAGCACAATATGGTGATGCACAGTTACCACTTACCAGTAAAAGTAGTTCCTGTTTTAATTTTGAGTGAACTGTTTGTTTTGGCCACGAGATACTTTTTAAGTTTAAGGCATTAATTAGTTTTTCTTGAATAACTTGTGGGTGCATGCAGAAAACACATACTTCAGCATTTAATTGAAAAGGCTACTATTCTTAAATAGTAGTCTCTGTTGTTTCTCTTAAATAGAGAGCTCATAGAATGAATAAACAGAAGTGTAGATGTGATGAATAGAGTAGATAGAAGTATTGATCTTACAATTCTGTCATGTGAAGTGCATCATCGATTACGTGGCAGAAAACTCCTGTCCAATTGAAGTGCATGGATTTTCTCAAGTTCATCACGTTTGAATGCAAACAAAAATAAGAAGGAATGTCAGGATGTAGTTTGTTGATTGTAAACATAAATAATATGGTAGCAGCCGCTTCTTGTTTTGAAAATTGCAGTGCTCGTTTGACTGTATCAGATTAAGAATGCCCTTTCGACTAATCCAAAATTCGTGGCTGTAATTTCAAATTGCAGTGCTCGGTGACTATAGCCAAGAAGTAAAATTTCATATTGCCTAGCTAGCCTGATGCATAATGAGTCATTTGAAATGCAGATGATGAAGGAAAACAAGTATTCGTCTGTCAGTAAGTAATAATTCTGTTAAGAACAGAACTAAAGGCAAGAAGAGTGCAGGTCAGAAAAAATTCAGATAACTGCAGGATAACGAAGCATGCATCTCTACTACGCCATATGTGCATAAAGTTCGGCAACCATTAAATCCCTAGCAGGAAACTAATGTGTGTCCCTAAACTTACATGTGGTAGTTTACTTCGGCATCGACTGAAACTGGCCTTGATTTCAGGTAACTGAAACTTAGGATGCGCATTGAAACTTAGTATCCCAATAGACTGCTCAGCTTCGATAGATGAAAGTTCTCCATCATTAGCCTTGTTCTCATCATCATATTTGGCTGATTCTTGCCTTTGATCTTGAACTACATAAACCTGTAGTGTGGATATACTCAGTACATACTGACTGACAAGGTATCAGGAAAATAAAGGAGTAGAATACCAGAGTTTCAGAGGTAAATATTGACAGTAGCAGATTATATTATATGCTTATGAACAACTAACACTTGTAGGAATAACTAATACTAATTTAGTACTATGGAAAACACCACGGCTCAAAAAAAAAAACAATTACCTAACTCGCAAACAAATAAAACATTCTACTATATATGAAGATCGATCCGACCATAAGGTCTCTGATTATGTTGGATATCCCTGTACTACCTCCCTGTTTATAAGTATTAAAAAATACAGTAGTCAAATGTTTTATACTCCCATTCTGTCCCTCCCCTAAAAACTGAATCACAGGGATGTCATTGCTCTGCTCCAACAGAACAATTATTCCAATAGAACAATTATTCCAACAGAAAAACTAATCTAACAGAACTTGTAATCAGGATGTCACATTACATATGAATCAACTTACCATCATTTGTTCAGATGATGCAAAATATTTGTGCGTATAGGCCATGTTACAAGCAGAACAAAGTAAACATGAAGAGCCTCACCAGCACGATTTCGTGCAAGTGCTGGCGGCAGAGACGATTGCAGGGGGAAGCTGGATCTAGCAATGCCACACTGACGCCTCGTGGGCGACTTGTTGGACATGGAGCAGCAGAAGGCCCACGTTGCTTGACGACGAGGCAGCGGCGGCGGCTCACAGGATCCAAAACCGTCTTCCACGCCCATGGTTGTTGTCTCCGCGTCCGCCACGGCAGGCGTCTCCTCATGGCCAGCGCTGCTGCATCATTGGCCGATTGGCCGGCTCTGCTTGCTGCTCGTGGACGTTGTGTGCTCCCCTGATGCCGCCGGAATGGAACCACTGCTGCGGCGACGCCAGGATTGCAGGAGCCACCTCCCGGACCGAACCACCGTCGCGTACCAATGGTTGGAGAAGCACGTCGCGGACGAGAGCGTATCAGATGAGGGCTTCCTTGGTTCAGGGAAGACGACGGCAGCAGGGATGAGGTCGAGGCGGAGCTCGAACTGGAAGGCAGTGGGCGTCGTAAATCCGAGCTCGGGGTGGGGAAGGTGGTGGCGGAGGGTGGGATGGGGCAGGGCCGGCGGTGTGCAAGCGCCAGAGCATGGGCGGTACTTGGGTGCCGACGACCTCCAGCCATCCAGCTGCGGCGAGCGGTGGACCACGACGCCCAGGCTGCATAGCAAGCAATCGAGAGGGGGGGAGGTGGCGAGCAGCAGACCTCCAGCGGCGACGAGCGGCGGACCACTACACCGGCGGGGCACCCTAATTCTTTTGAATGGATCGGGGAAGATAGGGGAGGCGCGAGTGGGAGGAGATGGGAGCGATTCCGTCGATCCACGGCTCCCCAGCAAGCACGGCTCGAGGATGGCGTAGCTCTCGGCGAGGCGGAGTTCCTGGTCTCCTCGGGGAGGAGGTGGTCCAGCTGTGGACCGCGGTGGGCGAGGTGGGTCGGCGGTTGTTGAGCTGCGCAGGTGGGCGGCGGTGGTTGCCTCCTTCGCAACAGCGCAGGAGGGCGGCGGCAGCGGCGGCGGCGGCGTAGTTGGGAGACGCACGTGGTGGCCGGCGCGGTGGGGAGAGGAGGGGGAGAGACTGAGAGGGACATCGGCCAACGCCATCGCGGGGGAGAGGAGGGGGATAGAGTGAGTGGCTGGGAGGGGGAGAGAGTGGGTGGGGAGAGGGTTTTTTTTCTGAGCATCGGGTGGGGAGAGGTGGCCCGTTTAACTCAGGCCGGACCGTGCCGTTGCGGGCCGGCCCATTTGGCCAGGTCTGGCTATGAGGAGGACAGGAGTCAGGGGAGGTCCGCATAAGTATAAGATTGTAGGGTGAAAAAAATGCAATTGAAAATATATGTGTTAGTCTCACTTTTGTTTTTATTATATATTATAGATGTTTATATAATACAGTATAAAATATCATTATATTTTGTATGTTTCACCTTTGTCCATCAGAGATAAACAGGGATGGACTCGAATGATGTTTTAAATATATCAACTGACATATGCACCGATGTAACGATGACGGCCCGGACCGAAACACCACGAGAAGAGGTGCTACACATGTTAACGTAAAAGGTGCATTATTTTATATTATTGTTTTTCAGAATATATGAGACAAGGATATGGATTTTGGAGATGCACAAAAAGAACCTATTGACAATGGTTCTGAAGCGACGTCGCTGAAAGGGACCACCGTTTTTTTTTACAATATAATGATATGAAAGCGGTGATATCTCATAAAAAACAAAAAAGATGTCAAATTAAACTTCAATTATTATGCAACTATGACCATGTTATATTGTCTTTACCTGTGAAATTTAGCATGCATTATCTTTATATAACTTTATCAAACCATTTTATATAACTTCATTAAACTATTTTAGAAGCCCGTGGCAACGCACGGGCATTCTACTAGTACTAAGTTGCTATTCTCCTAACACCTATCTGCATGCCCCACATATTTGGAGCAAATTGATAATATGACACTTTTCCTGGAACTTTGGTCTGATGACACATCTTTCTTTTGGTTGATTAGATGACACATCTTTGATTCATAACTGGATTAAATGACACATAAGTTTTTCTCTCCTTTTTTAGGTATGGGCCCCCACGTCACATTTTGTAGGACGATTTTGCCCCTGGTCGTTTCACCTGCCTGGCTCGATCGAACCGATCGATTGTTCCTTGAAGAGCGAACGAAAGCCGCTGCGCCGCTGCTCCTGCTTCCTTGCACCGCAGCTCCTGCTTCCTCCCACCCGCGCCTCCGGTGCCTAGCACCGCCCCACCGCTCCTGCTTCCTCCAACCCGCGCCGCTAGTGCCAAGCACGGCCCGGCCATGCCTCTTCCCCGTGTGCTGCCAGTTCCCCGCCGCCTCTTGTCCGTTTCTTCTCATCTGGCAACGCTCCAACCGTTCCGCCCTGTCGACACCTCGTCCATCGACTCGTACAACAACATCGAATAGCTACAAAGCTACCAGTGATGGTATGCTCCGGTAACGGCGTGGCCGTGCCGGCGACGGGAAGGAGACAGCGAGGTGGCGGCGCGCCGGGAAGGAGCCACGGCAAGATAAGGCGCCGGGAAGCATGCAGCAGGATCACCTTGTTCCATACGTAGAGCTAATATATGTACGCCTGATGCATGGAGCCTCTGCATGCATGTACTGATCGAGCGAGGCGTGTTTGGATCTTCCAGGAACGATCGATGTGAAACGACCGGGGGCAAAATCGTCCTATAAAATAAGACGTGGGGTCCATACCTAGAAAGGGAGAGAAAAACTTAATTTGTGTCATTTAATCCAGCTATCACTCAAAGGTGTGTCATCCAATCAAACTAAAAGAAAGGTGTGTCATCAGATCAAAGTCCCAGGAAAAGTGTGTCATATTATCAATTTGCTCACAGATTTGCTAGTTAAGTTCGATCTTATTAGATGTAGTTCTGACTTTCTGGACCTCATATACATAGAGTTGTGACCTCACCAGTTGTTATTTGGATGTTTATTAATTCATGATCCAGGCTATTCACTGGAATCGGAGGATAGGACTACATTAGGTTTGAGGGTCGGCTTTTTAAGCATACCTGCAGTAGACCGGTATAATCTCATGACTTCTTATATATGGCTACTTGAGTATGAATTTTCTTCTTAATTCCGGTGTAGATATATTTGACATCCAAATTTATGCTGCATATGGTTGTATTTTTTGGTTAACAGTTGACTCCAAAATGGAGTGAGTGCCCTTCAAATAGTCACAGAGAACTATCTTTGCATGAAAATGGTGAGTGCAGTCTATCCTTAACAGAACACCCTTTTTGTCCGCAAGTTATGTTAGTTAACTGGCTATCAACAGAATGTGCTCAATATCTGCAGAAAATAAGAATGGCAATGTTTATAAAAGGAGAAAGATGGATAAAGATTCAAATTCACTTGTAGCAAATGAAGAAGTTAAAGAACTGACAATTCAAAGTTGCACTACCTCTGAAGATCACTCTTCACTACTGCTCCCTGTTATTAATCCCTCATATCCAGTATTTTCAAATTTGATGGCAGGTAAGATAGACCCTGTCCTAGAGCTTGAAGAGCCTGCTGGAGTTCCATTGGAGCCAAATTCTGGTGTGAACGAAAGATGTTCAGTGTCAAGTATGCCACCATCTTCCGTGATACTAGACAAAAAGGATGCTTCTGTATGGTCCTCATCAAATATACGCCCTACAGAACCGACAACAGAGCTCACATCAGCAAGGGATCTATGCATTGCTATACTGAGAAAAGATGGACTCATAACTGAGTCACAAACTAAAATCATTTCAGAGGAATCCACTGATTGTAATGCCAACCACTTGGTGACATGCAATGCTTGTGGAAGCTTGGATGTTCCACTAAAGATGCTTATATGTGATTCTTGTGAAGCAGCATTCCATTTGCCTTGTTGCATCCCTTGTATTAAGGTGGTACCAGCTGGTGAATGGTATTGTCAGCCATGCTTGAAGAAGAAACCTAAGAGTCTTTATGGTCAACTATTAGAGGGCAAGGTCAGGTCTTCCGGGAATATGGACCAAAGGCCTCATGGCATGAGTCATATAGAGTACATGTTCAAAGATGTCGAATCATACGTTACTGGGGTTCGACTTGGTGGAGATTTCCAAGCTGAAGTGCCAGAATGGTATGGTCCCATTTCCAGGTGTGTTGACACAATTGCTTTTAGTTCTAACATTTGCATTTGTTAACTCTGAGAAAACACATTTGCATTGGTTAACTCTGAGAAAACACATTTGCATTAGTTAGGAATAACATTTGCATTGGTTAACTTTGAGAAAACACATTTGCATTAGTTATAGGAATAGTACCATGTAATTTTGGTGGAGTAAACATAAATTTCTGAAGATAGCTAATTAAATGACTATCCTTTTTTTCTTGCATTCACCATAATCTTTATAAGATATGCTCTTCATCCTTGGATCAAATTCATAGCTAAATAATCATCTTAGATACTAATCAAACTTTTTAAATTGTGCATGTGCCCAAGTCTTTATTTCATGTATTCTAAATTCTAAACTCAGAAGAACATCGTTGGGGCGTAACCCTTTTAGGAACGTGCCATATCGTGACCAGGGTGTGGTGTTAAATGGGCAAGGGTCGGGCCATCCACCCCCTGGTGGCGTGCTGTATCTTGATCTGGATACAGTGATAAGTGAGCAAGGATCAGGTCATTGCATCCTTAGTGGCGCTATATCGACCCCCGGGTGTAGTGAAAAATGTGCAAGGGTCTTCGCATTTGACTCGATGAGTGCGAAGGGTAAGGAAACTAGCCGAGCCAAGTAGGATCCGCTTAGGTAGTTGGAATGTAGGGTCCGGTAAGTTACAGGAGTTGATACATCGGTTAGGAGACGTGTTGATATCATATGTGTCCAAGAAACCAAATGAAAGGGGCATAAGGCGAAGGAGGTGGAGGACACCGGCTTCAAGCTGTGGTACACGGGAACAACTACAAATAGAAATGGAGTAGGCATCTTTATCAACAAGAGCCTCAAGTATGAAGTGGTAGATGCCAGGAGGCAAGGGACTGATCAAGAGGCAAGGGGATTGGACTATCCTAGTCAGGCTGGTCGTTGGGGATTTAGTTCTCAGTGCTACCAGCGTGTATGCCCCACAAATAGGCCACATTGAGAGCATCAATAAGGAGTTCTAGGAAGGCCTGGAGGACATTGGTTAGGAGTGTACCTATTGGCGACAAACTCTTCATAAGAGGAGACCTCACTGGCCACATCTGTATGTTAACAGAGGTTTTGAAGGGTGCATGATGGCTTTGGTTATGGCAGCAAGAATCAAGGAGAGGATGTCTTAAGCTTTGCTTTAGCCTATGACACGATCGTAGCTAACACATTCAGAAAGAGAGAATCTGATCTAGTGACTTCTAGTAGTGATCAACGCTCTAGCCAGATTGATTCCATCCTCTTGAGAAGAGAAGACATGCGTGCTTGCCTAGATTGTAAGGTGACACTTGGAGTTGTCCCTCAACGTAAGCTTGTGGTGACTGACTTCCACTTTCGGATTCGTGTCCACCGGGATAAGCACGCATAGTCGCTAGAACGAAGTGGTGGAAGCTCAAGGCTTTCAAGGAGAGGGTTATTAAGGAGGGCTCTTGGGAGGAAGGAGGTGATGCAAACAATATGTGGACGAAGGTGGCGACTTGCGTTTGGAAGGTGGCTTTAGAGGAGTTTGAGGTGACCAGGGAAAGTAGAAGCAAAGCTAAATACCTAGTGGTGGAACGATGCTGTCCAGAAGGCTATTAAGGAAAAGAAAGGTTGTTTCAAATGCCCACACTTGGATATGAGTGCAGACAACACAGAGTACAAGGTGGCAAAGAAAACCACGAAGTGAGTTGTGAGTGAAGCTAGGGATTGGGCATATGAGAAGGACCTGCATATGGTGTTCATTGACTTGGAAAAGGCCTACGATAAGATGCCGCGGAATGTCATGTGGTGGGCCTTGAAGATACACAAAGTCCCCAACAAAATGCATTACCCTCATCGAAGACATGTATGATAATGTCGTGACAAGTGTTCGAACAAATGATGGCGACATTAATGACTTGCAATTAAAATAGAACCGCACCAAGGGTTAACTTTGAGCCCTTATCTTTTTTGCTTTGGTGATGTATGAGGTCACAAGGGATATACAAGGAGATATCCAATGGCGTGTGCTCTTTGCGGATGATGTGGTGCTAGTCGATGATAGTCAGACGGGGTTTAATAGAAAGTTAGAGCCATCGAGACAAACTTTGGAATCAAAATGTTTTAGGCTTAATAGAACTAAAACTGAGTACACGAGGTGCGGTTTCTGTATTACTAGGCACGAAGAGGAGGAGGTTAGCCTTGATGGGCAGGTGGTACCTCAGAAGGATACCTTTCGATATTTGGGGTCAATGGTGTAGAAGGATGGTGATATCGCTGAAGATGTGAGCCATCGAACAAAGCTGGATCGATGAAGTGGTGCCAAGTTTCTCGTGTTCTCTTGTGACAAGATAGTGCCACAAAAGCTAAAAGGTAGGTAGGATGGCGATTCGACCTATGATGTTGCATGGCACAGAATGTTGGCCAACTAAAATGGCGACATGTCCAACAGTTGGGTGTAGCAGAGATGCACACGCTGAGATGGATATGTGGCCACACAAGAAAGGATTGGGTCCAGAATGATGATATACGTGATAGAGTTGGGGTAGCACAGATTGAAGAGAATTTTGTTCAATATCGTCTGAGATGGTTTGGGCATATACAACACAGGTATCCAGAAGAGCCAATGCTTAGTGAACAGATAAAGCACACTAATAATGTCAAGAGAGGTCGGGGTAGACCAAACTTGACATGGGAGGGTCCGTAAGAGAGATCTGAAGGACTTGTATATCACCAAAGAACTAGCCATGGACATAGGTGTGTGGATGTTAGCTATCCACGTGCCAGAACCATGACATGGTTTTGAGATCGTGTGGGTTTCAACTCTAGCCTACCCCAACTTGTTTGGGACTGAAAGGCTTTGTTGTGGTTATTGTTGTTGTTGGTGGTGGTGGTACTAGGCTGCTACTTGCCACTGGACAAGAGGTCTTTTGTGCTTTTAATCTTGAACGCTGATTCTGTTTTCATTGCAAAGTCTGATAATTTCAAAATATTTACCAGTAATATTTATGTTTTTATTGTTATTGATCAGTCAACTAATAGGAACTTAAAATATGATAGAAGATATGGAAGACCTATACATGTCAGGAAAATAGTAAATTTTGGAAGTCCAAAATAAAACTAAGGCCCCATTTGGTAGTAAAGTATTTTCTAAGAATTCCAAGAATACTACAGTTTTTTATATTATCATAGTTTTATTCGCAATGAGCTGTTTGGTTGTCACAATAAACTGTAGTTTTAATACTGCAGTATTGTCGAAACCGTGGTATTTCCTCTGCATATAAAAAAGAACCCTGGACATCTTTTTTTTTAACAGAGCGAGCGGAAAAACGACGTTTGTATCTTCCTCGCTCCCTAGGTGTCGCCCCTGCCTGTTGTTCAGATCTTCTCCATGGGCAGTCATGGATAAACTGAGAGACGACGATGAAGAGAAAAAACGGTGTCCATTGTACTGCCGCTTGCGGTCCTCCGTATCTGCTCCTATGCCCCATGCCCCCAAGCAGCTGGTTGCCCCGCTGGCCAACTCACGCCATGGTCGCGGTACTGGCTGCTCTGTGAACCCCCAACGCACTATTGTCCGAGCTCGAATGTGCCCTGCGCACTCCTAGTTGTGTGTTACTGCTGGTCAAAGCTGTGTTGTATGCGTGCTGTTTTGCCACTGGCCGTGCAGCCGCCGCCATGCCGCGACCTTGCTAGCTGCTGGTCATCCAGCACGCACTGCTCGTGACTGCCGCAAACATGAATGGCACCACGATGTGCCCCATGCGCTCCACCCTGACGAGCTCGCTGGAGCCCATGTTGCCATGCGTACGTGTCGTCGAACGACTATAGCTAGCTAAGTTACGTTGATGCATACAAGCACTAACCAAACATGTCACAGTATTCTTAATACTTCAAAATACTTTGTTCTGTCAAAACTGTGGTATCTTGTGCCTACATGCTAAAATATTGTAGTTTTGCAATACTACGGTTTTTGCAATACTTCGCTACCAAACATAGCCTAAAGGTTTGAGAACAAAGTTGCCTGCACTCATGACTGGTTGGTTGCAGTGGCGGAGCCAGGATTTGCGACATGGGTATGTGGAGTAAAACAAGTTTTTTTCTGCACAACAATGTAACATATAAAAATGTTCATAATACGAACAACGAAACTATAAATTATTACCTGGCTATACAAGTGCCAACTGTAGCTCGTTGGAAGGTGGATGCTCTTATTTTGATCCTGAACTTGGGTTTCAACGTCGATAGATACCGATGTCAGTGTTGATGTCAAACTTATGTTCAGCGCCTTTGAAGCTCTCCCCCACAAACGTTTCAAATCATCATATTTGTTCTTCATTGTTCACACCTATACACATTAAAAACATGTTGGATAGTAATGATGGCATGGTGGACAGTCTTAAAAATTTGAATGTTCATATTTCAGAAATTTAGGTGCATAAACTTCGCCTTCTTTTTCTTGCAGTTCTTCACAAGTTTTATAGTAAAGAGCCAATGCAAACCGCCCTCAAAATTGACTGGATGATGCAATAGATGAATGGAAAGTTAGGGAACCAACATAATCCTCTATACTTGTCCAACAATTCCGAGAAATCAAGATTAAATGTTCACAAAGAACAATCAGTCAATCAGACGATGGGCTAATTGCGCACGCCGTCGTTGGCGATCTGTCTTCTAGCTGGCAGATGCGTCATGTGCTGGTGCGCGCCATGACGCTGTCGAGTACGTACTGCAAAATATGTGGGCAGGCGAAGGAGACCGAGCAATGAGAGATGGCAATCCGCGACAGCCGAGATGAGATGATGCAATGGTTGCTTGATGGCCGCCGATGAGCGAATGCGGCGCCGCGGTGTGTTGAATCAGCAGAATCACAGGCTCGAGTTGCTGGCTCGTGGCTCCTGGAATAGTTGTCTCGTCAACTTCGACCAATCTGGCTAGCGATAAGCCTGAAAATAAGGCCCAGTAGCAATGTGCTAGCAATGTGCTAGCAACGTAGCAGCCCAATATAGGCCCAAGTAACGCTGAATCGTTATTTTCTTCGTTTCCCATGTTCTCTACGTACAAATAGGCTGCCATACGTGACATACAATCATACCGGAGCTTATATACTGAAAAACTTTTGCAAAAATCATTGGGTATGCATTGCATACCCTTGCATTAGCCTAGCTCCGCCCCTGGTTGGTTGGGAATATAGTGCAATCAGATGGCTTCTCTGTTGCAAACTTATGGTACCGTATACCCTAGTTCCGAACTAGTATCTAATTTATTCAATGCTGTAGTGTTGGTGTAGTCCAACAAATAAATTTTATTAAGAACTCATAATGTGTTATCTTGTGGTATGAGTGGTTCCTGTTTAGTTTTGCTTACATTCTTAATGCTCTTGTTTCATGTTTATGCTTCGTTTTCTAAACAATTTATTCTACTTCGTTTTGTGTCGTAGCGATGGTTATTTCACAGCGCCCTCTGAATTTGATCCTGCTGAACTCATGAAACTGAATGTGAGATTTGTATTTTTGAGTTAGTAGTACTTCCTACATACAGTTTCTTAAGCTGGTTTCTTGCTTGCGTAGTTCTGTTCAAAGAATAATCAGAACAAATCTTCAAGTTCAACTGGTAATTGGGTACAATGCCGTGAGGTCTTGAGCACAGGAGATCCTAACAAGCCAGTAATCTGCGGCAAGTGGAGAAGGTAAAGAACTTTGCAGTTTTTTATTTGATAGATATTTCTATTAACTTTGATTTTATAACAGCTCAATTAGTGCAAATATCAAATTTTAAATTGCCATGTCAGCCTCTCTCATCTGAGTTACTGCATGCTTGTTACTTATGATTCGCTTTTGTACAAATTCCCTAAACATTCTTTAGTGTGTAGAAGCTACAAGCCTAGAACTATCTTTTCCATAGTACCTCAAGGTTGTTTGTATTGGTTCAACTGTTTGTTACCTCATCTGAACTATAAACTAGCCACACTTGCTTGATTTCTGGTCTGAAGCAGGCACACAGCACAAAAAGTGACATGTTTAAACTTATGATTTGGACCCGACATACGTTTTTGCTAGAAATAGACCTTAAGATCTGAACCCCACATAAGTTTTGTTAGAAATAGATGTTGGGTCTTCCACAAGAATTATGAGTTGACGAGTCGAGCCGAGGTTGAGACTCACAGACTAATCGTGACTACTCTAGACTACTGCCGGACTAGTCGACACGGTACTGTAGTACTCAACTTACAGTACTCAGCTACTAATACATAGTATGTAGCATACGTTGTATAGTACCGTACAGCATACAATAAAAATTGAATGCATGGGAAGTGAATGAAGAACCCGAAGCTGGGCCAATTGTAATATCCAATGGCCAGGGCTGCAGGGGAGAAATCAAACCCAAGAAGGGAAGGAGTGAAGGGAGAAATTACTTGCTACAACATGAGAGGAGTGCTTGCTTGCCATCACTGACGGATCCAGGAGGAACACAGCAGCAGAGGGGCGGATCCAGCAGAGGAAGAGGAGCAGAATGCTCCTGGCCACCACCGCCGGCAATGGCGGGTCAGTGGGTGGTGGCGGCGGCCTGGTCCCAGGTGAGGCGCACAGGCGGCTCGTTGTGGAGGAGCCTGAAGAGCTAGGGTTGCAATTTTTCCCTTCCGTGGGCTGCTCACTTATCCCTTCAAATCCAGTCGGTAGACTCAAACACGATACACGAAAAGACGAAGTTTGCCGAGGTTCTGACCACCTGCCACGGCTGGTCTAGCTGCCCCTGCCATGTGTGGCCTGTCCGTCCCTCTTGCGATCTTCTGTTTAAACCTACCTATTTTGTCTATTCTGTTTTGGTTATCCTGTGGTGCCTTTATATATTAGGCCCAGGTTACAATTGTTTGACTACAACACCCAACTCCTTGCTTATACCCCATAAACATATTTGACACAAATTTAACAAGTTCCGCTTTCCCTTGTTCATATCTTACATATCTTTGTAGATATCTCTTACATTTTATCATTGGGATCTCCTGTAGGGCACCCCTATATGTTAGTCAGTCAGATGATTGGGATTGTTTTTGTTGTCTTCTCTGGGATCCAGCTCATGCTGATTGTGCTGTTCCACAGGTAATTATTTCTTGATTTTTAAGTAATGTATAGCATCTTAGCGAACTTAATACTTAGTGGCAGCTACCGTAATGTAATTTCTAAGGTGTTACTGTGCAATATTGTCTTAGTTCCTAGGATATATAAGAAATTACAAACATATGTACAAACGAATATTCTTTATTTCTGTAGTTAAGAAGTCATTCGTCATCAATTCTAGAAGTTGTATAGTGTTATCGAGAGTTCAAGGTGTAATTATTTTGCATGTAAGGTCCAAAATATCATCAACCTGTTGTATGTAACGGATATTTGCAGTGGCGGAGCCAAGGGGGGACGAGCAGAGACCAGGCCCCCCTCCCCCCCCCCAATGTTCGCCTCGTACAGGAGCACTTAGTCCTAAGTTAATTAGAATTAGCCATTTAGGCA